ATAAACTCATTAAATACCAAAAGTGGTCCCCAAAGGCATTAACAATAGCAAGAGTTACAGGTTCCCAACAGAAGTTCCAATATGAAGCACAAAACCATAAGATTCCTGCATGTTATTGACTGCGTAAATGTGTTTTTTTCTTTTTAATGTTATGTTTAACCTGCACTTTGCGCAGTTCCTGACTACATGCTGTATAAGTCAATTCCTATTCCATATTTATGGTACAATTACATAGCCTCAAAATAACAGAAAGTATTAGAGTAATAGAAAGACTCCCAGAATTAGCCACTTAGCCTTCCAATAGTTTAGTATTACTTCATATTTCGAAGTGTAGGCTTCAAAATCCTAAAGAGATACATGCACCTTGCCTCTAAAGGAAATTAAGACAACTCCACGCCCCGCTACTGCATAAGCATCATCTAATCTTCAAAGAAGAAAACAGGAAAAATGAAACAGTATGTTAATGTTGTATTTAAGCACACAAGAAAATATCACCCACTGCACCTATAAACCAGTAAGCCCTGACACGTGTTTGTCTGCAAGGTATTTTCGATATGATCCTTGAGAAATCTCTGGTCTTCACAACAACGTTGTATAGGTAAGCATTTTTTCAGCTCCTGTCTTGTCAATTCCTCACCAACCCCAAACACTTCTTAAAAAAAAAGTTTCAGAGAGAACCATGGCAAGAGACAGCCAGTTAACCGAAGTAGTGTAAGAGTTCCACAGTTTTTTGTATTTTCTAGCTACCCATAGATAATATATGGGATTTAACAGAGATGTTTCCCTTTCCTAGGGAAAAACAACAGGGAGAACTAAGAAAAGAGCAAGTGGAACCACAGTGGGCAGTGCTAGGGAAGAAACAAACATGAAATAAAGAGGTGAGGGAGCCAGCAGCAGAAAGAACATGCTTGGCAGAGGACGAGTCTAGAGAGGCAGGGGAAAAGAAAAATCAGATCTAGATCCACCAGAGACCTATATCCAGCCCCTGTCAACGCATCCACTCTGCACTGCGACATGCCTCCGGAGAACCAGCAGAACAGGTCTCTGCCTCCAGTGCCCTGACTGCTGACAACTCGCATTCAGAGGACAGTTTCCAAGAGTCACCTCCCAGCACTCATCTACTACAAGATGAAAACTAGGGTGAACAACTTCCCATGCACCTCCAATGAGTTTGTGATAGTGCCAGGACTGACCCAGCACTCAGAATTCATTAAAAAAGCGCGAAGTTCGGAGTTCTATGTGCGTGTCCAGAATAATTCAAACAAAAGATGCCATCTAAATGAGAGAATTTCTTACAAGTTTGACAAAAAGAAAAAAAAGCATAAAGAGGAACAGTGCAGGTCAAGGGAGCAAGAAATACTAAAAATGCTTCCAGCTTACACTAGTCTCTCTTATTTAAGAAATTGATATAGGTAACAGAAAGGGCCATGGAAACTAGAAACATAAATGACAGTGTTTTACTTAAAGTGAAGTAATACCCTTGCTGGTTCATTCTAGGCTAGTAGCTTTCAACCTGGACATCTCCAGCAAAAATGCACTGCTAACACAAGCACACAGAGATCAAAATTTCTATTTAGATACAGAAAGCCATTAAAGAATCACACTTGGAGGAGAGTATATAGAGCCTGGTATAAAATCCACTGTCTAGGTATTATTCATTAGAGGATTCTTGTGACCAGACTTACACAGCTTGTAAAAAATTTCGTCAGAAAGTGCTTCACTTCCACCTAACTGGATCACCATCATCAGGGTGAATGGGAGTAAAGTCTTATCACATTGAATTTTAAGAGTTGATTTCAATAAATCAGACCTGATATTAGCAATGATGGGTCCTTTCTTGCTAACTTAAAAAATAACAAGAGAGAAACAAACAAAAGTAATCTTGACATGCTTTTCTTCACATTACTTCAGGTAGCCAATCCTTTGACAACATCTACTCTATTTCACAAGTGTAAATACTGACTGTGACTTGGTGTATTAATAAATTCCGGTGACGGCTGACACATTCCCATTTCATTCCTGTTTGCATTGTCCGTTAGATCTAGTAAATGCCCACAGCTGCAAAGAGTTTTTATTGCCGGTTGATTTCTATTCTAAGATATGCATTCCTGGTCTCCTTGTTTCTAACCAGTATGAGAAAGAAGGTAAAAGAGATCATTCCTAAACCTAGGAGAGAATGACACGAGTTCCCTGTTCAGGGGTTGGCTCTACCATGCTACCTTGCAGCCAGCTTCCTGCTGAAAGAAGTCCAACAGCGAGCGAGAGTTTTAATGAATGTAGGTTGCAAAGGTTGGCGCCACTTGCAAAGCAGAAAGCATTAGAATAGCATTACTCATAGAAAGCATGAGCACAAAAGCTTCTTCTACATATGTATTTCTTTAAAGCCTTTGGGCACCAAGCTTGTCAAGTGTGATTTAGACAAACCGAAACTATTTATATCTTTATGACAAAATGCAAATTGGTTTTGGAATTGAGCCTTTCCTCTAAGGATTTTTTTTGGCAGCCTGTTCAGAGAGACCATCTTCTTGCCAACACTGAACTGGTAGCCTTCCATCCACATTTGGCCATCTTTCTATGACGGTGTAAGCATATCGTGTATGAAGGCCTTGCATGACATTTAAAATAGGGATGTTCTTCACAAGTATTCCAACATTTTAATTAAACTCATAAGGCTTGAAGAGTGCACGTGAAATGGAATCAAAAGGAAAAAGCCTCTTCAAGGATGGAGTTTCTGTTAAGACGAGCTGCATTTCATTCTACTGCCTCTAACTACACCAACTTTCTCCATCTATTCAGACTTCACATTCAAACTGGTTATTGTCATACTGAAAGAAGATACTGTGCAGAAGAAAATAAATCTCAATTGCTCACAAATTTTAAATAAAACCTTGCAATACCTAGTGATGGTCAAACTCTGCTGTTATGCTCTGAATCTGGACAACCTACTGAATATTCCAGGAAGATAAAAAATGCCCACGTTTCACTGCCTTCCTCAAGAAAGTATCGGTTGTAGTTTACCAGTCAGACCACTATTCACTTTCTATATGTGAGGTTTAACATGTGTAAGACACAATTCAATCTTTAAGGAAAAACAAACAAACAACCCCATGCCTTAAAAATTAGACTTGAAGATAATACACATTAGGGCATAGTTTCCACCTGGCATTTGCTTTCAGAAGTGCTTCTGGGATCTTGGCAACCCTGTAAGAGCTTAAAAAGAAAGATTTTTGTCCTCACACCATGATACTGTAACAAGTTCAAGTACAGATGAGCTTAAGAACCACTGTGCCACAAAATCTATTTCTCCCTTTCCTCTCATCTTCTTGTACTTGTGTTTCCTCTCTAATAGTTGTTAAGAATAGTGAGCTATTCCACTTCAACCCCTTCTGCTACAGTCAGTGGATAATACTGTTGTTCAAGTGAAGTAAATTGTTCAGTTATACACCATATAAAAGCTGAGAAAAAAAAACCCAAACCAACCAACCAACAGAGCTTTAAAGGGCCATTATAAATTGAAGAGCAATGAAACGAGAGGAATCAGGACTCACTGACCTCTACCTCCAATGCATTTGGTCTTAAAGCAAGAGAAGACAGAACACAGACAACCTATGTGCCAAGAACGGCTTTTGATCTAGTATGCTTCCAGTCACATTATGCAAACAGGACTCTTCACAGTCCCACTGTTCCACAGCCCTGAAGGTAACTCTGCTCATTTGCAACTGCATTTCCTCTGCAGATCTAATAACCAATTTAAGATTCATTTGGTTTGGGAGACCAAGATGCCACCGCCTTAGTGAAGTCAAGTGTTTGTTTGTTTGTTTTTATGAAACCATGATATCAAGTCAACAGTTAGAACCACTCTTAATTGTATGATGGAAAAGGGTCTCCAACAGTAGTCATAAAGTTCCGTATATTTTTAAACACATCTTGTTTAAAAGTCACGAGCACTATGAACTCAGCAAGGTGTCCAAAAGTGAAGCTGGGCTCTTTCCATCTCACATAATGAACGGCAGAAATAAATACCCATTGGACCAATTCACATGTCTGGAAACTAATCTGGAAACTATGTCCTGCAGTATCTGCCTATCTTCTCTGTAATTTATCAGTACAGTTGCTTACTGAGTTATATTCAGTGGCCTTACTGTAATCAGGATAGTGCAGGAGTGAACAATAATCCAGGCCCACCCCATCCCAGGATTGGCTTGCTTACTGTTACTTACGTGAAAGTTAAAGCGTTCAGCTTGCAGATCCACTTTTGAGAGAACTGAACTTATGATGAATTTCTATGAATTTACTTCATATTACTAAAAGCAATACATACCTTCTGGTGGTTCATCATGAAGGTATGATGGGACTTCCTGTTGATTTTTGTCCGTTTGATTCATTATTGCCTAAAAAAGAAATTCACATATGCTATACATCTTTTCTGGCAAAGCATAAATGTAATCCATTAATCCAAAATTCACGTAGTTTAAGTTCACAGGAAAGGAGCTACTTTTTCATTACTAGGTAAGCTAGCAGCTCCTGCCAAACTACTGTTCTTTTTATTATTGGACTGTGCTTTTGCGTTCTTCAACCAGACTCACTACTTGAAAAAGGAGCCCTCCACCAGGTCAGCAGGCTTGGTGAGAGTTGCCACTCCACACCAAGTGCATCTCAAACCTAAAAAGCAATTGGGAAGAAAAACAGTATGAAAATAAAACAGCCACTGCCATACAACAGCTTATGTTTATGTACTAAAAAAGAAAAGCCTAGTGGTCATAGAGATGGTGGGCACTAGAAAAACAACAGCAGCATGCCTATAAGATCTTTTAGTACCTGGAAAGCAGTAGTTTAAAGAAACAAGTCCTTGCAGCAGAATTTGAATACATGCCATGAAAACAAGATGGAAGAATTGTAATGAAAACACTCCATTTATCTTGTAGCAGTATTGCATACACAGGGTGGTGACAGCAGTAGAACTAGACTGTTTTAACTCTACACAAGCTTTCCAATGAAAATGTTTCAGAAACAAAATTTCTTTACACCAAAAGCTGTTTCCTAGAGCAGTTCTAGAGCAGCAGTCCCTGACACTGAGGGGAAGCACAGGAGAAAGCTGAAATCAGCAGCTCTGCTTATTACATTTTGCCTTTGGAGGGGAAGAAAGCAATATCTAGTCCAGGTTTCCCTCCTGCTTTCCTCCCCCCACCAAAGTGTGCCAACTTAACAACAAAAAGTGTTAAGTCCTGCCTCCTCCCCTGAGCCTTCCTGCCAATCCTGCTTTCCCTCCTCAGCAGGCACTGAGGTGAAAGGAGAAAGAAAAACAAGTTGCATTATACCACTCAGCATCCTTCTATCTTCTTGCCAGTGACCTCTTAGTTCCCTTCTTCCTGCACATATACACAAGCCTTTAAATCATTTAATTTCTTCCAGGAGTCACCAACCACCACAAAAATAATTCCAGCCTCTCTTGCCACGCCCAGGTGTCTCCGTAACTGCTCTGGGCGAGAACAGTGGCTGGGATCTGAAGGGATGAGGAGGCAGAAGCAGAACTTGAGGGTGGGAAGACTCACCTAGAACACAACAGCTAAAACCCCTCACAGTGTAATTATGAAGTCAAAAACATCACAGTAAAAACCGGCACCCACACACTAAATGATAGATCTTTGGATGCGAAGCAAGCCCAAATTGAATATTAAAGAGTCCTCACAATCAGCACTACGGGTATCAGTTCACGACTCAGAAAACATGGGTACCTTTACACGAGAAGCTGAACAGGAAAGCAAGCAAAAAACCCTACTACCAGGATGGCTGATTTGATGGCAATGCTGAACAAGTACTTCGCAAAAGCCAGAAATGCAAATGCGGAAGCTAAGAAACAGGAAAGTGAGTAGCAACGCATCAAGATGGAAGACTAAATACATGAGGGCTAAGAGGCAATCTGAAAATGTATCAGTTATGTAATTCCTTGTTCTTTTATTTAATCACAGGTCAGTGAGTTGGGGGGGGGAAGCCCAACCGAGCACAGGGAGCAACTGAGGGTGATCAGCTTCCAAGAAAGGACTGGATTCAGATACTTGGCGATTTCTTTGCATTCATCTAATGCAAGCTGGAAGAAATACAAAGATTTCATCCTCACTGTGTGGAGTTACCTGTAGGTTGTTGCTTTTTTCCAACCTGAAACAAAAATATCAAGCACTATAAGAAAGAGAAGGCAGACACTGTAAGAAAGACAGGCCTGACATTATTTTATCAAAACATCTGTACAAAGCTGAAGTAACTGTGTTTCTACTTAACATGTGGCCATTTTGTTCGTTAAGATGATTACTGTGTCAGGAATTTGGAAGGAGTTTTTTTGTTTGTTGCGTTAGGGAAGGTCCTAAAAAAAAAAAAAAATCACAACCTAGCAAGCCTTACTTCAAACAAAGGAATAAAAAAGTGAACAAAATAGTTTTAAAGCAGACTCAAGGGAAACACAAATTAACTAAGCCAGAGATAAATTAATTTTTATAAAGAACTACCTCCACTAATATATTTGTATCTAGCCTGCATGTAACTCGCAAAAGAAACCCAGACACAATTGCTTGTTTGAGCTTCCAAAAAGTTTGTCAACAATTCCTCCTAAGAGGCTCAGAAAAGTTATTTAATCTTAGGAGGAAAGACAAAATACTGCCAGGGATTATCAACAAGTTTAGAGGGGAGCTGGAGTAGGTTCTAGTGTTCTGCCATGTTCAAAATTGATAAAGTGTCACAAGGCTCCACACAAGGTTTAATATTTTCCACTATTAAGAAGGTATTGGACACCGCAGCACTGACAGCAGATACAGCCCTCATGAAGTACCGAGGCTCTCTTGCGCTAGGCATCATACAAGTATTTAATTAAGACAAGACCTGTCCAATGGAAAGAGTAAGAGTAAGACTGGCAAACAGATAGCATGGGGAAAAGATGCCTTCATAACACTCCGTGATCTAGGTTGGGCCACTGCCAGATTTGCTTGCAATTCCTAGAAAGCTAAATGAGCAAAGCAATGTATTGGCAGGGGAGTTTCACAGCAGAGTTTCTAGTTTAGTGATAAAGTTTAAAAAAACAAAAACTGTAAAAAAAAAAAATCACAGTGCTACATAGAAAACAGTGACAAGATTAGGTATTGCCTCCTCTGCTACCTTCCCCAGAACCTCAAGGTTATGTAATTCTTGACCACAGCTACTTTTAAAAGTTAGACAGGAATATTACACAATATATCACTCACATGCAATGATTTAACATGCTTACAACTCCTTCTAAACCACAGAAATACTTCACTCTCTTACAACTACATGGACCGCAGTGGTCTATCTTCTACAGCTCAGGCACCAGCAACCTGCTGCTGTCAGAGCCCAGAAGCCAATGGAGTACTACGTGGGCCTGAGAAGAGCAGCTAAGGGAAAATAAGTCACTGTTGGTAGGACTGAATTTGTTCTGCACAGAAGGGAGCCTCCAGGGGTCTGCAGATCAGAAAGTTGAAGACTAATGTACGATGTGTGGTTCTACAGGTACCTGGAAGCACTCCAGGGATGCTCCAAGAGATGTGCCTAACCAGCCTGTGCTAGTTTTTACTCACTGTTCTCCTATTGCATCACCACGAGTGAACACAGAATCACATCGCTATCAGAAAAGGCTCACAGCTTGACTCAGAACAGTACTCGGTACAGAAGAGAGCTCACAAAGCACAATTCAGGTCCTTTTGTTTTTCCGTAGAAGCTCTCCAGCAAATCACAGAATCAAGACTGAGATCCAACAAAGGACTTAAGCAGAAAATTTTAAGATATCTAGGTTATAACCTGCGTCATGCATCCTCGTAGCCAACTGAACACATCAGGAGACTTAAGAGCCTCTGAAAAGTGGTCCAAAATCCTGTATGCTAAAAAGGGTACAGCATATCTGGTGAACAGGAAATACTACGCACAGGAGCATGTCTTAAACCTGTCTCCCCTCCAGAGATTTAAGGTGAGTATTTCTATTGACTGGAGGTCAAAGGCCTAGAATAACTGCTTGGTGGCAGATGACTTCATCCAGTCTTCAGATGGAGAGGGCAGGAATATAATTTTTTTCTTCAAAAATTAGAGTTAGAAAAGCAGAAACCTCACTATCTTTTACGTAATACCATCAAGGTGAAAGCACTCACTCACCGTTCAATGCCTCCTTCGTCTAATAAGATCCAAGCTTGTATGTCCCACGTTGCAGGAGTCCCCTGGTCACCAGACTGTAGTGTATCCTAAGGGAGGTTCCTCTTCACCCTCCCTGCTGAAGGTGTGTCCCCACAAAGAAGAAGAAAGCAAAATTCATGAGACCCAATAGAGATTACAACTCAGCTAACACCTAAGGCACCGATCTGGAGGCGCAAGAATAAGACTTTTGTGCAGAGAATTAGGTCATTCAGACACGGTATTGATTAAGGGACTTTGGAAACTCAAGTTGGAAGCTGCAGATTCAAAGTCTCCTATGCACTGAATCATTAGTTACAATTCTTACTGGTATCGCAAGCGCATGCAATAAGGCAAAGATTTATAAGAAGCCTGAACTTTGGAACTTTTCTGATACGTTTTTCAGAATCTTCTTCAAAGTATGCTAAGACTGGCCAAAAACAAGGGAAAAAGAAAGCAAGCAAATAGATCTTTCTTTGGCATTTTCATCCTGTGATGCCAAATTCACAGTGCCTTGTGTCACTGGGGAAAAGCCTCCAGCTTCATTTAACACCTGTATTAACTGATCACATGGAATGAGGTGGGATGTCTATGAGTCCTGGCAGAACTCATACGGACATTCATGAAGCAGACATGTAGCCTATCAGTGGCACTCTCCAGTCTCCTCCTCCATCTGTGCAGATGAATACGTAAGCTCTATATTTTCTTACATTAAGAAGTGGAAGCAAACCCAGATCTTAAAAGATATTTCAAACAGGGACACATGTAAACTACTTTCTGGGTTTTTTTCCTGTGCACTTATGAAGGTGCTAGTCGTTCAAGAGATAAGAGATAACGTCTCATCTTTTTTAACAACACATTAAAATAAGTATCAACCTTCATACTAAAAAAAAAAAAAAAAAAAAAAGAACCC